TCTGGAATAATTTATACATGTGTTTTGTAACTTTGGATACTACAGATACTCATCATCTATTCTAGGAAATCTTCTGTGACTCTTCCAAAATGGGTCTGTGTCCTCTTCTGTGCTCCCATAAAGAACCTGATAGATGGGCTATCTTGTCCTGGGTGGATATGGCTAATGAGAAGCTGATCACAATAGCTGATCACAAAGCTGATCACAATTTGCTGCCAACCTGGATGAAGGGGATTGTGCACTTCCTGAGAGTGCACGTCCAGCCTGGGGTGAACAGGTGATGCTTTCTTGTGATTAAGCTACCGGCTTACCTGTGGACCAGGCTCATCGAGGTGACCTTGCATTCGAAAACCCTTGGATCTCTGAGTTTGCCACACCTGATCCCCTACAGCCTTCACCGTCCGTGGGTATAGTGTCCAGGAGGTGCTGAAGCCTGAGAATGGGAGTGGTCGTGCCTGGTCAGACCCCCAAGCCCACTCTCCCCTATTCTCAGCCCCAGCTGAACCGTTCTGAGTCTCCCATGGGCACAGGGCCCTGCCATGGCTGTGGGTAATAAGGCCAAAGCTGCAAGTCCAGGGAACAGGAGTGGAGCCAGAGACTCAGGGCTGTGGGCTGTGGACAGGGTGATTCCAGACCCTTAGATGCCCAGCGAGAACCACTGTAAGGATCGCTGCCCTAATCATGGGCACATGCTGACATAGTCACAGCCCTGTCCCTCACCCTACTGCTTTCTGGAGGCAGGGGGTTTTCTAGGTCAAGGTTGGAGAGCTTGAGGGGACTGGAGAATGACCCTTCTGCCCCCTAACACCTCCACTCCCTCCTGTCCCTCAGATCCGGGGAGTGGTGGAAGGCGCGGTCCCTGGCCACCCGGAAAGAGGGCTACATCCCAAGCAACTATGTCGCCCGCGTTGACTCTCTGGAGACAGAGGAGTAAGTATCCTATTTCCTGCCTTCCAGAAGGGGGCATGAGCAAAGCCAGCCTTGTTCGCATCTCCAGACCTCTGCACACACTGTCCCCTGCCTGGTACACACGCTTCCCAGGGCTCATGGGTTTGGCTGGCTCCTTCTCTTTCTTCGGGTTTCATCCTTCCTGTCAGGGAAGAGACGCTAAAGTGGGTCCCTGCTGTGACTCTGTCTTGTGGAAATCTTGCTTTATTCCCTTCTGAACATGTTTTACTAGCAAAACGGCCTTGTTTCTTTGGTTGGTCACGTGTGCATTTTCTGCCTGCCCTGCCAGGAAGAGAGCTGGTGAGAGCGGGGACTTGGTCTGCTGCTGCATCCTCGGCACAGGCTGGCATGCAGCCAAGAAGGGTCTCTGGAGAGGCGAGACAGCTCACACCTGGCCAGTCATCCCGCATTTGTTTTGTTTTGAGACGAGGTCTCTGTCAGCCAGGCTGGAATGCAGTAGCGCCATCACAGCTCACTGCAGCCTCAGCCTCCCCAGGCTCAGGTGATCCTCTCATCTCAGCCTCCCGAATAGCTGGGGCTGCAGGTGCGCACCACCATGCCCAGCTAATTTTTTTTCTTTTTTGTATTTTTTGTAGAGATGGGGGTCTCCCCATGTTGCCCAGGCTGGTCTTGAACTCCTGGGCTCAAGTGATCCTCTCGCCTCAGCCTCCCAAAGTGCTGGGATCACAGGCCTGAGCCACCGCACCTGGCCCATCCCTCATTTGATTCATTTGACAAACACATGCCCATGACTCTTTAAGTCCTGTGCCAGGCTAAGGGACTGTGAAAACAAATAAGACATATCCCTATCCTCAAGGAGCTCCCTGTAACCCTTCTTTCTTGGCTGTGCGTTCTTCTTTGTGTCTAGCTTGACTCTAAAAGTATATTTCAGTCATCCCTCCCTCCCTCCCTCCATCCCTCCCTCCCTTCTTCCCTCCCTCCCTCCCTCCCTCCATCCATCCATCATCCAGCAGATACCTGTTGATTCCCTGCTGTATATGTGGCCCCATTCCAGGGATACAAGATGACTCAGATAGGGCTCCCTGCTGGAGATGTTCCCTGTATGGTGGGTGAGGCTGATGAGTAAAAATACGACTACATTGTGGGGCGACAGTACATCCAATTAAAAACCAGCCAGTCAAAAAGTTGAAAGATGACAGTCCCCATTGTTTTCTCTCTTCTGCCTCCTCTTTCTAGCTAGATGGTACTATGGGTTTGGGATGCTTGCCTGTTGAAAATGAAAACATTTAAGCTTTTTCCACCACCCCCTTCTGGCCGGGCACGGTGGCTCACACCTGTAATCCCAGCACTTTGGAAGGCCAAGGCGGGAGGATCACCTGAGGTCAGGAGTTTGAGACCAGCCTGACCAACATGGTGAAACCCCATCTCTACTAAAAATACAAAAAAATCAGCTGAGCGTGGTGGTGCATGCCTGTAGCCTCAGCTACTCAGGAGGCTGAGGCAGAAGAATCGCTTGAACCCGGGAGCAGAGGTTGCAGTAAGCCAAGATCATGCCACTGCACTCCTTCCTGGGGGACAAAAGCGATATTTGTCTTAAAACAAACAAACAAACAAAAATAAGGCCACCCTATTTTAATGTTCATGGAACTGGGGGCTCTTAGCAGCTTCTCTGTCCTGCTTCTGGGCTTTTCCCTGGGTCGTCCCATGCTCTGTTTCTCCACTCCAGAGCCTGAATGCTTACAGAATCCCTCATGCGGTCCAATCTTGGAGGAAGCATGGCTGGTATTATTTCTCAAAGGCAACATAATTGCTAAGTGGAAAAGGCAGGGTGTAGACAACATGAATGGGGGTTATCATTGCAAACCAAGGCAATAACCTAGGTGGGGGTCCTCAGACTTGAGCAGCATCAGCACCACCTGGAGTGGGGCTAACAAGTGGTTTCTGGGCCCCGCTGTCTGATTCCGGATGTGTATTTTTTTTTTTTTTTTTTTTTTTTTTTTTGAGACGGAGTTTCACTCATGTTACCCAGGCTGGAGTGCAATGGCGCGATCTCGGCTCACCGCAACCTCCGCCTCCTGGGTTCAGGCAATTCTCCTGCCTCAGCCTCCTGAGTAGCTGGGACTACAGGCATGCACCACCATGCCCAGCTGATTTTTTGTATTTTTAGTAGAGACGGGGTTTCACCGTGTTGACCAGGATGGTCTCGATCTCTTGACCTTGTGATCCACCCGCCTCGGCCTCCCAAAGTGCTGGGATTACAGGCTTGAGCCACCGCGCCCGGCCCCGGGATGTGTATTTCTAACAGGTTCTCGGGCGAGGCGGCAGCAGCTGCTGCTGCTCCAGGGACCCATCTTGGGAACCGCTGATCTAAATACATATATCTGGCCGGGGGCGGTGGTTCACACCTGTAGTCCCAGCACTTTGGGAGGCTAAGGCAGGCGAATCACCTGGGGTCAGGAATTCCAGACCAGCCTGGTCAACATGGTGAAACCCCGCCTCTACTAAAAATACAAAATTAGCCAGGTGTGATGGCAGGCGGCTGTAATCCCAGCTACTCAGGAGGCTGAGACGAGATTCTCTTGAGCTGGGAGGCAGAGGTTGCAGTGAGCCGAGATCACACCACTGCGCTCCAGCCTGGACAACAAAGCGAGACTCTGTCTCAAAAATAAATACACATATCTGTCCTTTCAGTACACTCAGGGGCCCTTGTGTCTAAATCAAGAAACTCCTAACAGATGTTGCCTCTAGGGAGCGCAACTGGGACCTTGGGAATGGGGCAGGTTGGAATCTTAGTTTCTCTCACTCCCCCTTGAAATAGGAAAGAGGCAATACTTCCAAATGATTCAAATGCAAATGTGGGGAAGCCTGCAGAAAAGAGAGTGAAAAGTCTTCCTCCCACCCTGTCCCCAACCAGCCACTCCCCCCACCAAAAGCAACCAGTTTCTCGTGAGTCCTCACAGATGCTTCCTCCTTGTATAAGAAAAGACATCTCTTCCCGCTTATCTCACCCAAGTGGTAGACGCCACACACACTGTTCCGTACTCTTGTTCAGACCGTCCACTGTACACCTCCTTCCTTTTTCTACCAGAGGGCATCTGTCCTGTAGCTGTCCAACAACCATTTAACCTCTGTCCAATACAGTGGACACAAGTCATTTCCAGTCATGTACTGGAGCGAATCTCCTGGGGGATACGTCACTTCTTCCTTGTGCAAGGTCTATGGTACAGCTTCCTAGGAGCAGAATTGTCAGGGAGACAGTTCTTACTCTTACATTGTTGAATATTTTACCATGGCACAAGTCAGTTTACAACATGAAAACAAAGAAGGTAGACGGGCCAATAGCATGGTGATTAAGAGCTTTGGTTCTGGAGTTAGACTGCCTAGCTTCAAATCCTGCCTCTACAACTTCCCAGCTGTGTGACTCTGGGCAAGTTACTTGCCCTCTCTGTTCCTCAATTTCATCGTCTATCAGATGGGGCCAGGTGCAGTGGCTTATGCCTATAATCCCAGTACTTAGGGAGGCGGAGGCTGGGGGATCACTTAAGGTTGGGAGTTCGAGACCAGCCTGGCCAACATGGTGAAATCCCATCTCTACTAAAAATACAAAAATTAGCTGGGTTCAGTGGTGCATGCCTGTAATCCCAGCTACCCAGGAGGCTGAGGCAGGAGAATTGCTTGAACCCGAGAGGCGGAGTTTGCAGTGAGCCAAGATCACACCACTGCACTCCAGCCTGGGTGACAGAGCGAGACTCCGTCTCAAAAGAAACAAAAAACAAAAAACGGGAATGATAAAGGTGACAGCTCCGTAGAGTTGTTCGATGGATTACCAGATAGATGTTCGCTTCCTCACCAGTTAATAACAGAAGAACCAAAGGCCCAAAGAGGAAGGCCACTTGCTCAAAGTCACACTGCAGTTTTGTGGCAGGGCCAGGGCAGGCTCAGCTCAGGTCTGCGGCTTTTTTCCAACTGCTCCTCACGCTAGTGAAGGTGGGAATGGATTCGGCTGCTGCTGCTTGAACTTTTCCACCCAATATCTCCAATATTCAGGAAGAACAAAGACAAGGGCCCAGGGCAAGATCCTAAGTATAAAGTTCTTTCCAATCTCACATTGTAGCTTAGAAGTTCATGCCAACTTCATTTATATTCAACTCAGTATATGCAGAGGAGGATCGATTGTAAAGCTAACGAAACCCAGGCCCTTCACAGGCCTCCAAGGCCCCAAGAGAGATCTTCCCCGTGGTCTTATATGCTTGTGAAATCTGCAAAAGTAAGACTTTGACCACAGTTGGTTAAGACTCCTGTCTCTTTCCACTCTGACTTCCTGTCCATCTCCCTGTCCCTCACAGCTAGTGGCACTGGAATGACCCATCAGCTCTTTGTACTTGCAATGCTGTATTATTTTTCTTAAAGCAAGTTCCCCCAAATCGCATAGGCTTCAGTCTCAGCAGACAGGATTCACCTCTGGTAAAATGTCTATTCTGATATCAAAAGAATGGCTCCTTTCCCCTCTCTCCCAAAAAAAACCCTTGAGTAAAACTGATGCCGCGGGAAGCCAGGCCCTCTGTACCCTAACTTCCCCTGGGTCCCACACGGCCACAGGCACACTGTGAGGACTGCCCGTCCTCACCTTCACATCTGTCTCCTCCCTTTTCCATCAGGTGGTTCTTCAAAGGCATCAGCCGGAAGGATGCAGAGCGCCAACTCCTGGCTCCTGGCAACATGCTGGGCTCCTTCATGATCCGGGATAGTGAGACCACGAAAGGTGACATCAGCCCTCCCCACCTTGTCCTCCCTGCAGAGGTGTGCCTGGTAGGATTGGCCACCACCCTTCCCTTGGAAGATGTCCTGGGAAAGGCTGAACAACCCAGCCGGGTGCTGCAGCGGCCAGGTTTCTCCTGCTCTTGGCTACCTGAGCCGGGAGGGTTGAGGCTCTGTGCCTGGCTTCGCCTTTCTTATCCCCCATAGCTGCCAGCTTTAGTCAGTGGAACGAGTGCCATGTGGCTTAGGCCCCGAAAACAAAGAAACATCTGGCTGAAGCTTGATCTTCACTGACTTGTTTTTCATTTGTTTGTTTTGTTTTGTTTTGTTTTGTTTTGTTTGAGACAGGGTCTCACTCTGTTGCCCAGGCTGGAGTGCAGTGGTACAGTCCCAGCTCACTGCAGCTTCTGCATCCTGGACTCAAATGATCCTCCCATCTCAGTCTCCCAAGTAGCTGGGACTACAGGCACACGCCACCATGCTGGCTAATCTTTCTTTCTTTCTTTCTTTCTTTCTTCTTTCCTTCTTTCCTCCTTTCCTTTCCTTTTCTTTTCTTTCTTTTTTGTAGAGATGGGTTTTTGCCATGTTGCCTAGGCTAGTCTCGAACTCCTGGGCTCAAGCAATCTGCCTGCCTCAGCCTTCCAAAGGGTCGGGATTACAGGTATGAGCCACCACACCTGGCCTTGGTTTTTTTTGTTTTTTTAAATACCCATAATAGATCAAGTGTGGGAGGCCAAGGCAGGAGGATCACTTAAGCCCAGAAGTTCGAGACAAGCCTGGGCAACATACTGAGACCCCATCACTACAAAAATTTTTTAAAATTAGCCAAGCGTGGTGGCGCATACATGTACTCCCCAATACTCAGAAGGGCAAGGCCAGAGGACCGCTTGAGTCCAGTAGTTCAAGTCTTCATTGAGCCATAAGGGAGCCACTGCACTCCAGTCTGGGCAACAGAGAAAGACCCTGTCTCTAAAAAAATAAGATAAAATGTCCATTACAATATATCTTATCCACAAGCCTCATTCCTCCTTCCCTCCCTCCATAAGGAAATGAGGTAGGATGAGGTCGCCAGAAGAGACTCAAGCCAGCCTTCTCTGGGACTCTGCTGAAAATGCTCCTGGGAAGCTTTTGGAAGTTTTAATGTCAGGTGACCAGCTTCCTGGAACATCTGTGCTGCAAGGGTGGGTTCATGCTGGTTGGGTGCACAGATGGCAAGACCAGGGCTGGAAAACATCGCGTAGCTCAAACCGGCATCGATTGAGGCTCATTGCCCCAAAGAAATGAACATCAGTAGGTTTCTTGTGATTTCAGGTTTCATGCGCTGAGTGCAACTTTACTAATACATTTAGCTTCACAACTGCTTGACTCAAATAAACCAAGTACATTGTATAAAGTGTGACCTCAGGCCGGGCGCAGTGGCTCACGCCGGTGGTCCCTGCACTTTAGGAGGCCGAGGCGGGTGGATCACCTGAGATCAGGAGTTGGAGATCACTCTGGCCAACATGGTGAAACCCCATTTCTACTAAAAATACAAAAATTAGCTGGGCGTGGTAGCAGGCACCTATAATCCCAGCTACTTGGGAGGCTGAGGTAGAGAAATCCTTGAACCTGGGAGGCAGCGGTTGCAGTGAGTCAAGATTGCATCACTGCACTCCAACCTGGGTGACAGAGTGAGACTCTGGCTCCCTCCTAAAAAAACACAGTTTAACCCCCACCAAATCCTATGACTTTGTATTTTTATGGTAGAGAAAACTGAGACAGAGGGGCTAATCACTTGCCCAAGGGCACATAGCTCACAAATGGCAAAACGGTGGTCATGAACTGAAAGGCTTATGTTTTTCTGCTCTATGTGATAGTATAGGGTGGTGCAAAAGTAATCTCAGTTTTTCCCACTACTTTCTATGGCAAAAACTGCAATTATTTTGCACCAGCCTAATATGTATGTTAGGTTCCTATTGCTGCTGTAACAAATTAACACACATTTAGTGGCTTAAAGCAACACACATCTGTTCCAAGAACTGTTAGTTCTGGGGTCAGTAGTCTGACCTCACTGGGCTCAAGACGTCAGCAGGGCTGGTTCCTTCTGGAGGCTTCAGAGGAGAATTCATTTTCTTGCTTTGTTTCACTTCCAGGAGGCTACAGCATTCCTTGGCTCATGGCCCCTTCCTGACACCTCTCCAAGCTCTAGTTTCCATCTTCACCTCTCCCACTTTGACCTTCCTACCTCCCTCTAACAAGGACCCAAGTGATTACATTGAGTCCACCTGGATCATCTGGGATAATCCCCCAACTCCAGACCCTTATCTTAATCACATCTCTAAAGTCCCTTTTACCATGTAAGGTGACATATTCCCAGGTTCCAGGGTTTATGGCGTGAACATCTTGAGAGACCATTATTCAGCCTACCACAGCACGTTCACATTTCAATAAGTGAACTGGACCTCTGGATTTTTTTCCAGAAAAGTCATAGCCTGAGTTTTTATGAAAAAGTAAAAAGTATAGTATAGTTTCTTGGCTTTCTGTAGGATAGATGATAGAAAGATAGATTGATAGAGCAGGAATAATGAAGATGATGATGAGTGTTCAGACTCCAACTAGTTTACAGACATGACTTCTTTTAACCATCAGACAACAGGATCAGGTAGGGAGGCGTGAGAACTATCCCCATCTGACAGATGAGGACACAGAGGCATAGAGAGGTGACGTAGTCTCATGGGTGAATGTGGTAATGCCTGGCTGAGAACCCAGGATGCCTGGCTCCCACAGCCCACTCAGACCTTCATGCACTTCTGCCCAGGTGCCAGGACAGTGCCAGCAGTAGCCTTATGAGGTGTCAGAGTGCTGACATGAGGTGGCAGGCCCCCGAGATGCCATTCTGATGGGTTTCTCTTTGGCCAATTCAGGAAGCTACTCTTTGTCCGTGCGAGACTACGATCCTCGGCAGGGAGATACCGTGAAACATTACAAGATCCGGACCCTGGACAACGGGGGCTTCTACATATCCCCCCGAAGCACCTTCAGCACCCTACAGGAGCTGGTGGCCCACTACAAGAGTGAGTCCCACCCGGGGGTTGCCTCCGCCCCCGACTCCAAGATGGGCCCGGCGGCCCCTAGTTGCAGATGCACTGCGGCCCCTGAGACCTGCTGTGCCCTTCCTCGCCCTCCCCCAGACAGATAGTTGCTTTGGGTGCTTCTGAAGGTTTAGGACTGTTGAGCAGGAGGGTGGGGTGGCCAGGATGTAGAGGTGGCACCCCGTCACACTCTGCTCGCTTGGGCATGTCTCTGATGGTGGCAACCAGGTGGAACTCTGGACAGATACAGAGGGCCAGACAGGGAGGGCTCCGAGGGGCAAGTTGGGGGGCTCCGAGGGGCAACCTCTGGCTGGCTCAGAGCTTGTTGCCCTCTGCTGACCGAGGACTCTCTTCCAGAGGGGAACGATGGGCTCTGCCAGAAACTGTCGGTGCCCTGCATGTCGTCCAAGCCCCAGAAGCCTTGGGAGAAAGATGCCTGGGAGATCCCCCGGGAATCCCTCAAGCTAGAGAAGAAACTTGGAGCTGGGCAGTTTGGGGAAGTCTGGATGGGTAAGAACTCAGGGCCAGAGCCCACAGGGCCAGAGGGTGGGCGGGTGGGGAGGGAAGTTACTCGCTTCCGGGAACACCTTATGGCAAAGTGGAAATGCTACCCAAGGCAGAAGGGCAGATTTAAATCATAGCCGGAAAGGAGTTCCCCTGATAGCAAACCAAATTGTCTTGCTGTGCAAACACTGATTTGCCTTTGAGACCAGTCCTGTAGGGGTCAAAAACTTCCTTATGGGAAGCAGGTGTCATGGATGAGGAGTCCCGCTCTCATATAGAGTGGGGACTGTATAACAGTTTAGGATTGAGATAACCAGAGGCCTCTTCAGATGATGAAAATTAAGAATGGGGAAATGAAGCTTGGAGATTTCCAGGCGACTGATGAACAGGATATTCTGAGCACCTACTATGTGCCCAGCACTGTGTTAGGGTCTTGTGGGAAAACCAGAAAGTCATATCTCACCCCTGCTGATTTTGCCCAAGAACTTAAGAACAACATTGCCTGCTTTGCAGGGGTGTGGGGTAGATGCAGTGCCCAGCCCAGGGTAGGGCACCCTGCTGTGTTAATACTTCACTGCATTCCAAATGGGAGTGAAGGCAACTTACAGGGATGCAAACAATGCAGCCAGATAAAAATAAGTTTAAAATCCATGTATTTCGACTGTATTTACTGAGATACTGCTACGTGCAAGGCCGGGCAATCCCCTCTGGTGGCTCATTCCTGTAATCCCAGCACTTTGGGAGGCTGAAGTGAGTGGATCACTTGAGGTCAGCTGTTCAAGACAAACCTGGCCAATATGGTGAAATCCTGTCTCTACTAAAAATACATAAATTAGCTGGGTGTGGTGGTGGGAGCCTGTAATCCCAGGTACTTGGGAGGCTAAGGCAGGAGAATCGCTTGAATCCAGGAGATGGAGGTTGCAAGCAACTGAGATCACATCACTGTACTCCAGTCTGGGGGATAGAGTGAGACTCTATCTGAGAAATAATAATAAAATTAAAAAGAATTTGACAAAAGAGGAAATATGGAGAGGAAGATAAGACAGATCTGAGTGGTGAGATTGGAAAGCCAAAAATATCATATAAGGCCCTAGACTTCTACTACAGGAAGTCCACAGTTGTGGATTGGAGCTTCCTGGAAGCCAAGGCAAAATGGAAAGCCAAGCAATTATGAAATTGACAAGACCCACCAAATGAAGCAGGGTGGGATGAGGTGAGGGAACAGCATGTGCCAAATCCCTGTCGTGGGAGGGGACTTGGGTGCTTGAGGGACTGAGTGACCCGGAGGGTGACTGGCACATAAAAGGCAAGTGCAGCTTAGTGGCTGATGAGGCTGGAGAGGTGGATGAGGCTGGGCCATGCAGGGCCTGGGGATCATAGTAAGTCTGGCATTTATTTAAGAGCAGCGTTAAGATGAAAGTGGGCAGCGTATGTGTGTGACATAACCTGAGTGGCATTTCAAAGTTGTTTTTAAATCCTTGCAAGAGCACTTCAAAGGCAGGGCATACCATTTCCACTTTGCAGATGAGGAAGCCACAGCTCAGAGAGGTTAAGTGACTTGCCCTAGTATGCACAGCTGGGAAGTGGTGAGCCCGCCTTTCAACCCACATTCGTGTGAGGCCTAAGCGCATGCATGACTTCACTTCCCTCTCTGAGAGTTGAGATGAGCAGGAAAGGCTTTCTGGAGGAGGTGGGTCTGCAGCTGGGCCTTCTAGGTTGGTACGGGAGACCAGTGAGCTCTGACCACCTTCCCTGCTCTTTGTTCCCCTCCAGCCACCTACAACAAGCACACCAAGGTGGCAGTAAAGACGATGAAGCCAGGGAGCATGTCGGTGGAGGCCTTCCTGGCAGAGGCCAATGTGATGAAAACTCTGCAGCACGACAAGCTGGTCAAACTTCATGCGGTGGTCACCGCGGAGCCCATCTACATCATCACGGAGTTCATGGCCAAAGGTGCTGCATGCTGGGGCTGGGGGTGCGGGCTGTGGCCTATACTGGTCAATTGTGAGTTCAAAGGTGACTTGGACATGGTTCTTGCCCTTGAGATGGCCCCAGTCTGGCCAGGAGCTCTTCCAACAAGTACTCATTGAGATTCTAAAGTGCAACCATCCAGCCCTCCTGGTTAGTGGGGTGAGATCATGTTAAGGGGCCACCAAGGGGAATGGGGAACATGGGGCTACCAGGAGAAGGTAATGGGGCCAGAATACTCCCGGTTGATGGGAGAAGGGGCTTGTGGTTCACAATGAGCCTTAGAGGCCGGGGTGCAGGGGTGGCACTCTCCCACATCAGCCACCTTCCCCATACATGCCAACCCCCTGGGAGAGGGAAGCTGGCAAAGCAGCTGCTCTGTCCCCACCCCACCCTGACACAACTCAGGATTTCTTGGGGAATCTTTTTAGGGCCACTGTTTCACAACCATTTTCAAACCCTGCCCATTTTTTGTTTGTTTGTTTTTTAGGGACAGGGTCTTGCTCTGTCACTCAGGCTGGAGTGCAATGGTGCAATCATAACTCCCGGGTTCAAGTGATCCTCCCATCCCAACCCCCCAAGCAGCTGGGACCACAGGCCTATGCCACCACACCCAGCTAATTTTATTTATTTATTTATTTATTTATTTACTTATTTATTTTTAGAGATAGGGTTGCCCTCTGCCTGCCCAGGCTGGAGTGCAGTGGTGTGATCATAGTTCACTGCAGCCTCGAACTCTGAGGCTCCAGGGATCCTCCTGACTTAGTCTCCCCAGTAGCTGGGACTACAGGCATGCGCTACCACACCTGGCTAATTTCTAAAAATTTTTTCTGGAGACAAGGTCTTGCCATCTTGCCCCAGTTGGGCTCAAGTAATCCTCCCAAAGCTCTGGGATTACAAGCATGAACCACTGAGCCTGGCCTAACATATATATTTATAAAATTCTTCTAGTGATTGAGTCTTGCTATGTTGCCCAGGCTGGTCTCAAACTCTTGGCCTCAAGTGATCCTCTCATCTCGGCCTCCTAAAGTGCTGGGATTACAGGCGTGAGCACCATGCCTAGCCACTCTGCCCATTTTTGGATAAACAGAATCATCTCACACAATCCCACTTAGTCTGATTTGAAACCTCCGGCCTTCCTCATTTCAACTATGCAATTATGCCAGTCCTGTGAAGGCATGATCCCAGCCATCCAGGCCCAGGGGCTGTCTCAGTCACAGAACCCACCTAGCAATCAAAAACTCAAATTCTCTTTCTCAAACACTAGAAATTGCAAACAAAAAAAAAATTTTTTTTTTGAGACAGAGTTTTGCTCTTGTCGCCCAGGCTGGAGTGCGATGGTGCAGCCTTGGCTCACTGTTACCTCCACCTCCTGGGTTCAGGTGAGTCTCCTGCCTCAGCCTCCCGAGTAGCTGGGTTTACAGGCATGCGCCACGATGCCTGGCTAATTTTGTATTTTTAGTAGAGATGTGGTTTCTCCATGCTGGTCAGGCTGGTCTTGAACTCCCAACCTCAGGTGATCCACTCACCTCATCCTCCCAAAATGCTGGGATTACAGGCATGAGCCACTGTGCCCAGCCACAAACAAATATTTTTATTTAAATCTACTACTATGAAAAATCTTCACCACTATCTAAAGTATTAGATTGGTACAAAAGTAATTGTGGTTTTTGCCATTAAATAATAAGAGTAGTAAACCTTCCTCCGCTATCCCCCATATAGGAAGCCTGCTGGATTTTCTGAAAAGTGATGAGGGCAGCAAGCAGCCCTTGCCAAAACTCATTGACTTCTCAGCCCAGGTGAGAGCCTAATGAGGAAACGGGGAAGGGAGACAGGGATTCAATTTTTTATTTGCCAAATATTTACTGACCATGTACTATGATGATAGCAGTAATAATAATGGGTAAAATGTATTGAGTGCTCAGTATAAAACTATGCTTTTTGCATGTATTATAATTATACGTGTACTCATTCATTTAATCATCATATAAGCTTTATAGGCTGGGATTCTTGTTATCTGTTTTGGTATAACAAACCACCCCAAGTCCTACTAGCTTGAAACAACAGCAATTATTATTTCTCATGATCCTGTGGGTTGCCTGGGTTCAGCTGGGTGGTTCTTCTGCTCGTCATTGTAAAGTGAGGTGCAGATGCATCCTGTTGGCACTTGCGTAGGCTAGAATGTCCAAGACATGGCTCAGCCTCCACCTGGCCCCTCACCACCCAATCACCCAGCCTGAGCTTCTTCATGGCGCAGCAGCTTGGTTCCAAAATGGAGCAGGACAAGGGGCCAAGCCCTCATGAGCAGGTTCTTATTAAGCCTCTGGCTGCATCAGGTTTGCTAATGGCCCATTGGCCAAGTCACATGGCTATGCCCAGAATCAGTGTGGGAGGGGACTGACCAAGAGCACAAATCCTAGGGACCCCCCCAGTGTAACAGTCTGGCCACGGGGAGGTAATTATCATCCCATTTTACAGAATAGAAAATTAAGGCATAGAGCAGATGTAAAGGACAGATGAGGAAACTGAAGCTCAGAGTGGTTAAGTGGCTTGTATAAGTTACTGTGCTAATTATGGGGCATATAGCAGGGAACAAAATGAAAATGTTCCTGTCCTAATAGAATTCACAGTCCAGATGGGAAGAAAGGTATTAAATAACCAAATCTCTTAGGGACCATGACCCAAGGGGTCTTGGCTGAGTCAAACCATTACATTATCCAACAAAGTAGATAATGTTTGCAAATCGCAGAAACACTGCTGAAAACCTCATTTTCTTTCTCATGTTTCCCTCGCCCCTTGCAGCTCCTCTCATCCCCAGACTGAGCAGATTTTTTTACTTCTGTCCTCTCTCATGCTGTCTCCAATGTGTGGGAAAACAGAGTGTGAGGACGGGGTGTTATTGGAGTGCATAGTTAGAGCATTTAGCAATCAGAGAATGCTTCCTGGAGGAAGTGGCCTTTAGACTGAGTCTGAAGGATGAGTAGAAGTTCAGTAGATGAAGAGAAAAGGGAAGGGTCTTCTAGACAAAAGAAACAGCCTGTGCAAAAGTAGGTGAAGGAGTTCAGCCTACTCGGCAGGAGCCCAGGGTGTGGTGGGAGTGGAGTGAGACCCAGCCTGGGCCTCAGCTGGGCCTGCTACAGATGCCAAGGGCAGGGCTCATTTGAGTATGTAAATTCCAGGGGCCCAGGGGGCACCACAAGGTGTAACAAAAGACTACTTTCAGAGCCTGGAATGCCAGAGGGATATGGAAATACGTTTTCACTCCAGTGGGCCCAGTCTCCTGGGAGACAATAGACTAGTCTGTTGCTAAATTATCATCTCCAAACTAGCAGAAACCCTACTGGGCAGCAGTCACGGACCAGGGCAAGAGCCACTCTCCCTGTTTCACAGAAGGGAAACAAACCAAGGAAGGAAAAGAGGTTCTGAGCCTTCATCTGTCAGAGGTAGACTCAGAGCCCAGGGGAAGAAAGGAGTCCACCTGGGGCCTTGGTCTTCACCGCCATACTCAGAGAGGCAGCTTGGAGCAGCAGGTGGGTTCCCCAGCCTGTCACCACCAACTGGCTATTGACCTCCAACCCACTTTGGGTCTCAGTCTCCCCATTTGTCAAATGAGGGAGCTGGACCACAATGTGGGTTGTTTTTTTTTTTTGTAGTCACAGCTGTGTTGGTCAAATGAAATGGTATGCAGTAGCTGCGTATATACAAACAAGTCAAAACAGAGCTGCTCTGACCAACGCAGGGTGGGGGCTTATCTGTGGCCTTTCTTTTGTCTCCCCCACCCCCATATAACCTTGAAGCATCCATAGGATTCATTCTGAAGAGCTCTGCAGATCTTTCCAGGTCTGATGCTATGACACCCTGATACTCTTGGAAGCAAACCCCAGTACCAATGCCCAACCTCATGGCATCCTGTCTGGGGATCATAAAATCTCACCACCTTATCAACCCCCAGTGCTGACACCTGGGCTCAATAAACCTACTGGTTACTCATTCAGTCAGCAAACCCTTGAGAGGCAGCACTACGAGCATCTGGGCTTAGGAGTCACATAGAGTTTTGTTCTGATCTCAGCTCTGCCTGTGTAGCTTCGAGCAAGTAGCTTAACCTCTCTGAGTGCCACTTGCACCCACTGAGAGCACCAGGAGCCACTATTGAAATATATACTTCACTATGTGCCAGACACTCCACTAAGCCCTTGATGTAGGCTTAGGGGATTAATCTTCACATGACCCCTTGGAACCAGGTGCTATTACAGAGAAGAAAGTGAGGTACAGAGAGATGACACAATTTGCTTGACATCACAGAGCTGCAGCACGCAAGCTGAGCTGATCCAGCTCCAGAGCCATTTAGCCAAAACCCTCTGCTGTCTCCTGAGTGGGGTGTCAGCCCCGGCCCATTGAGCTCCTGTGAAAATCAGTAGTATGAGCATCTGCCAGTGGGGATCAAACAGCGGTAACTCCTGGCATTAGTGCTTGTTCCAGAAGAAAAGCCAGGCAAAAAGGCTGGGCAGAGTAACAGGCAAGTGCGCGGACCCCAGGCAGCACTTTTGGAGCTCCAGCCTGGGCTCCACAACTTGCAAGCTGTGTAAGCTGGGGCCGCTTACCTATTTCTCTGGGCTTCAGTTTTCTTAGCTGTGGAAAGGGGGCTGACAGCAAAAGTGCCTCCTCCAAAGCACACGGTAAATGTCACTTAAGTGTTTAAGTATCATCTTGTAAACAAGCTATGATGTTTGTTAACTGTTCATCTAAGGACTCACAAATTTCCCACACTCCCAGGACCAAGATGCTGTCTCACTCCCTCCCGGCAACCTCAACCGTATCTCATCCCTACCCCCTACTACTCCAAACAAAATCAGAGTCTCCTCCAAGCTTTTATTGAAAAGTCTGGGTCTCCCTTAGGCGTGGCGGCTCAGGCCTGTAATCCCAGCGCTTTGGGAGGCTGAGGCGAGAGGACCGTTTGAGCCCAGCCTGGGCAACACAGGGGCCCAGGAGGCAGAGGTTGCAGTGAGCTGTGATCCCACCACTGCACTCCAACCGAGGTGACAGAGCAAGAGCCAGGCTCAAAAAAAAAAAAAAAAAAAAAAAGCCTGGATCTCCGTTCTACCTGCCTCGGGTGCCCCCTGCTGCCCACTCCCTGCAAGTGCGTCACTCACTTGCCTCAGACATTGGGAGGCCAGCTGGTGGTGCTTTGATTGTTCTGTCTAGTCAGGCGCTCTCGCTTCCCGAGTAATTTCATCAAACTGCACCCAGCTGCAGTCCGCTGGAGCACTGGAGTGCTGAGTTATTTAGAGGCAGCAGAAAGCACTAGATTGGGAATCCTCAGACTGGCTTGAACCTGACATTCAGAAGGTTTCTGGTGGTGTGAACTGGAACGAGTGTTTCCATGTCTGTAAAACAGAGATCATGAATGATCATTCCTGCCTTAAATTGCTCGTAGCCCAGTTTGTAAGCCAAAAGTGCTGCTTTCTGGGCATCTGAGGGTTCATCTTCAACCCCTTTTGTCCAAACCCTTGTAAGTAAAAATGACTGTAAGATATAATCCCTGTGTTTTCATCAAAGACTTCTAGGACCCCCGGTGTGAATAAGAATCCTCCATGCAGTCTGTTTCACTCGGCAACCATGATGATCTTTAAATGTACATCAGAACATGTCACACGCCTGCTCGAAGGCCTCTAATATCTCCCCATTATGCCCAGAATAAAATTCACCCTCCTGTCCTGGCCGACAAGGCTGTTCATGATTGCGGTCTCCCTTTCAGCTTCAACTTTCCCCACTCTCTCTGTGGCATCTTCTGCTGGTCACACTGGCCTCTGTGCTGTTCCATGAATACCCAGGCTCTTTCCTACCTCTACACCTTTGCACCTGATGTTCTCTCTGCCTAGAATATTCCTATGTGACACACTTATTATTATCATCATTCCTATCTTTGCTAAAATCTCACCCCCTCAAAGCAGGTTTCCCTGAACACCCAATCTGAAAAAGCCCTCTACGGGTCATATATTGTTACTCTGTTTTATCTTTTGTTTCTTTTTTGAGACAGAGTCTTGCTGTGTCACCCAAGCCACAGTGGCATGATCTTGGCTCACTGCAGCCTCTGCCTCCCAGGTTCAAGCAGTTCTCGGGCCTCCACCTCCTGAGCAGCTGGGCTTAGAGACATGCACCACTACGCTCATCTTCCTTTTGTATTTTTAGTAGAGACAGGGTTTCGCCATATTAGCCAGGCTGGTCTCGAACTCCTGGCCTCGAGTGATCTACCTACTTCGTCCTCCCAAAGTGCTGGGATTACAGGTGTAAGCCACCACGCCCGGCCTGTTTAATCTTTTCTTTATGGAACTTTCTACCTGCAGCAGTTTTGCCTGGCTCACCACCTGTTCAAGCAACATGTCTGGCACCCACAAGACACTCAGTAGATTTCTGTTGAGTAAATAAGTGAATTTTCCCTACCCAGGGCTGGGGCATGAGAAAGATATAAGAGGTATAGCAGAATATAACATGAGCCTAGATTGTCCCCAGAAAGAGGGTTGAAGATGAAAGCTCTTCATAGTGTCCTAGAGTTTGTGTGTCTGTGTGTGTGTGTGTGTGTGTGTGTGTGTGTGTGTGTGTGTTTTCCTGGAGGAATAGGTCCTGGAGAAATAGTCACATTGCTTTTTCCTTGAGAACACTTCAAAGTGCCCTCTGGAAGTCTTGGAACTCTAGAGAATCCCCCAAAGTGACCCAGGCCTTAGGGATCCCCCCAACCTCAATGCCAGCCTGAGCCCTGGGGCCTTCCCAACAAAAGAGTGAGGGCTGGTGCAGACATGTCCCATTGTCTTCCACTTGAACACCTCTCTGCTGCTTTCGGGTGGGGCCCTCTTGGTGTAGGCCAGGTCTGAGGACAAAAGTGTCTCTGTTTGGGTTGCAGATTGCAGAAGGCATGGCCTTCATTGAGCAGAGGAACTACATCCACCGAGACCTCCGAGCCGCCAACATCTTGGTCTCTGCATCCCTGGTGTGTAAGATTGCCGACTTTGGCCTGGCCCGGATCATAGAGGACAATGAGTACACGGCTCGGGAAGGTAGGGAACGCTGCCAAGCAGGCCCACGTTGCCCATTTGGATGGTTGTGAGTGTTGAGTTGGTATGTGTGAGAGTGATTGACAAAATGCAAGGGTCTGCCCCAGTCTTAGCTGTGCATTCTTGAGCTTGGTGGATACTTCTGGATAATATCCTGAACTTCAGAGTCTCACCCAGAGACTTTGAGAAGGAGATTTTAGATCAGATGGAGAAGTACTGATAGATTTTGGAGGGAGTTAGGCAATATATGTTGAAATTAAGGGTAAGAGCAGCTTTGTGCATAACAGACAAAAATAGGGCTGATATCCAAATGTCCATAAGCAGGAGGATGGATGTATACATTGTGGTTTATTCACAGAATATAATACCACGCAGTGATGCAAAAGCACAAACCAGCCAGGCTCAGTGACTCATGCCTGTAAAACCAGCACTTTAGGAGGCTGAGGCAGGAGGATTGCTTGAGCCCAGGAGCTCAAGACCAGCCTGGGCAACACAGGAGACCTAGTCTCTATAAAAATTTAAAAAATTCACCAGGCATGGTGGCACATGCCTATAGTCACAGCTACTCAGGAGGTTAGGGTGAGAGAATTACTTGAGTCTAGAAAGTTGAGGCTGCAGTAAGCCATGATTGTGCCACCGTACCCAGCCTGGTGGACAGAGCAAGACCTTGTCTTAAAAGAAAAAAAAAGGCTGGGCACAGTGGCTCACGCCTGTAATCCCAACACTTTGGGAGGTCAAGGCAGGTGGATCATGAGGTCAGGAGTTCCAGACTAACCTGACCAACATAGTGAAACCCTGTCTCTACTAAAAATAAAAAAAAAAGCCGGGCACCAAAAAAAAAAAAAAAAAAAGCACAAACCAATGCTAAATGCACCAAAATGGGTAACTCTCACAGGTATATCAAAATGAAAGAAATTAGACCAAAAAAGAGTAGATGCCAATTGGTTTCATTTTTGTAAAATTCAAAAAGAGACAAAACTTGTATATGGACGTTCATGGAAGCATTCTTCCTAATAGCCAAAAGATGGAAACAACCCTCTTAATGTCCACAGACTGATGAACAGATAAACAAAATGTGGTATATCCATACAATGGAATATTATTTGGCCAAAAAATAGAATGAAATGCTATGTCAGTCTAGCACACAGATGACCCTTGAAAACATCATGTTAAGGGAAAGCCAACACGAAGACCACATACTGTTTAATTCCCCTTCTGTGAAATGTCCAGAACAGGCCACCTTTTTCTTTTTTGAGACATACTCTTGATCTGTCACCCAGGTTGGAGTGTATTAGCATGATCTCAGCTCACTACAACCTCTGCCTCCCAGGTTCAAGCAATTCTTGTGCCTCAACGTCCTGAGTAGTTGGGATTACAGGCACATACCACCATGCCTAGCTAATTTTTGTATTTTTAGTAGAGACGAGGTTTCACCATGTTGGCCAGGCTGGCTCAAACTCCTGACCTCAAGCCTCCCAAAGTGCTAGGATTACAGGCGTGAGCCACCACGCCCAGCCCAAAACAGACAAAGCTAAAGAGAGAGAAAGTCGATGCGTGCTGCCTACAGCTGGTGGTGGGGAATCGAGAGAAATGGGGAGTGACTTCTGTGGGTTTTTTGCAGGGAAATGTGATGAAAATATTCTGAAATCCACAACTTCGTGACTATTCTAAAAGCCATGGAATTATGCACTTTAAATGGGTGAAATGTATGGTCTGTGAATTCTAGCTCAATAAAGCTGTTAAAGAAAGAAACAGGCAAAATTTATTTACAGCATAGAGGTCAGAATCGCAGTCACCTTTATTTTCTGCTAGCTTAATTTTTATTTATTTATTTTTTTGAGACAGGGTCTTGCTCTGTTTCCCAGGCTGGAATGCTTTGGCTTGATCTCGGCTCACTGCAAACTCCACCTCCTGGGTTCAAGCGATTGTCCTGCCTCAGTCTCCTGAGCAGGTGGGATCATAATCACACTCCATTATGCCTGGCTAGTTTTTATTTCTAGTAGAGAGGGGGTTTCACCATGTTGGCCAGGGTGGTCTCAAACTCCTGACCTCAAGTGATCCACCTGCTTGGGCCTCCCGAAGTGCTGGGATTACAGGCATGAGCCACCACACCAGGCCTATTTATTTTTTGAAGAGACAGGCGCTTGCTCTGTCACCCAGGCTGTAGTGGAGGAGTGTGATCACAGCTCACTGCAGCCTCTGACTCCTGGGCTCAAGCAATCCTCCAGCCTCAGCCTCCTGAGTACCTGAAACTACACCCACCTCGGTCTCCCAAAGTGCTGGGATTACAGGCAAGAGCCAGCATGCCCAGCCCTTCATATTCCTTTTCTATAACAAAGGAAGCCTTGTCATGACCCACTGTGCCTGGCCAAGATTTTGTTTGTTTTTGTTTTTAAATTAGCTGGGCATAGTGGTGCACACCTTTAGCCCCAGCTGCGTGAAAGGCTGAGGCAGGAGGATAGCTTGAGGCCAGCAGTTCAAGGCTGCAGTGACCTATGATTGTGCCACTGTGTTCCAGCCTGGGCAACAGAGTAAGACCCTTACTCTGTTGGGTAAAAATTGAAAAGGCTGGCCGGGCGCGGTGGCTCGAGCCTGTAATCCCAGCACTGTGGGAGGCCGAGGTGGGTGGATCACGAGGTCAAGAGATCGAGACCATCCTGGTCAACATGGTGAAACCCCGTCTCTACTAAAAATACAAAAAATTAGCTGGGCATGGTGGCGCGTGC